AAGAAACCGGTGTAGTAGATGAAGCTAACGTTTAGCTAGCCAGGCAGTCTGGGTCTGTTTCTCCCCTCCTTCTTAAGTGTTTAGGCCTGTTTCTGTCTTTGTCCCCGTGCTGCATCTTACAGGAGAGACTGGCCAATGTCCCCTCGCTTTGTTCGACCTCTGCTGCTGCTGCGACACCGTTTGGCAGAGGGCTTTAGAATTTAAAACCTTGAGTTACACGGGTGAACTTTGACCAAGCAATGTCTGCGGCGTGTAGCTCCACAAACCAATCCAGACGACAAAGGAGTCATAGCTTTTGTCTGCTCTTGAATTATGACGACGGCAGAAAAATAAAGAAAATGTCTTTGTACACAATTCTTTCACTGCACCATCGAATTATATCAGTTTCAAAGAGTCAGCCATTTACGGCTTCTGTGAAAAGGTTTAAAAATGAAACTTAATGATATTTTTTATATGTCTGTGTAACTGCAGGGTAAAACTGCAGACAGGCAGCCTAGCTAAATAACTGCATGAATATCACTCATTTAAAAACGTGTATACAGCCAATAAGCACCCCCTTATTGGTTTGCCTTATCATGGTTATGTAAGCCCTCTAATAGGCTATTGTTCCCTGCTGGCTGAACATGACTTGCATGTGACTTTACAAGCTTTTGAACCATGCACCAAAGTGATGCAAAACCTGGGTGTCTGTTTCAAACCTCAGGCACTTCGCACTTTTTGGTCTGAATGTCATATTTGTTCTTAAGTTCAAGTTGCCAGAGGATTTTGCTGCTATCACAGCCCCAGGTTGTGCCTCAGGCTCCACCCATCTGCACTTAATAATATAATGGTTTGTGAACATCAGGAATTTTCTGGTAATTATATGTGCTATCTCATCTACAGTCATTTATCACCACCACCATGTCTGCTGGAAATGCTAAGATTGGCAAGCCTGCCCCAGACTTCAAAGCCACAGCTGTAGTGAATGGACAGTTTAAGGACATCCAGCTGTCAGACTACAGAGGTAACTGTTATTTTGACAGTATGTCTACAATGATAGTAAATGGATTTATCTACTCAATCTAACTTTGTATTTACCATAAATATAGACCCAATCTTTTCAGTTAATATAGAATAAAAACAAGGTTTTTATATGTTTGAAGACATTTATGTAGGTTAACCAGACTTAATGCTGTCCTTATTTTCCCCCTGTGCTCTTTAGGGAAGTATGTGATCTTCTTCTTCTACCCTCTGGACTTCACATTTGTGTGCCCTACTGAGATTGTGGCTTTCAGTGACAGGGCAGATGAGTTCCGCAGTATCAACTGTGAAGTTATCGGCTGCTCCATTGACTCTCACTTCAGTCACTTGGCATGGTGAGAATTCCTTCTAGTTACAGGGAATTATGAATCGAGTTTGACTGTTATTTGTGTGATTGTAGGCTGTGGGAACGGCTTCACTGGTCCTGAGCCAACACTTAAGAAATAATAATATTCACACAGTTGTGTGGGCAACTTTAGCAAAGGTTTTCATTGTACTGGAACTATCTGTTTTTGAGAGTGCATTTCATCTCTGGTATTTTATTCTTGCCTGTGATGAAGAGCGTCTCTCCTAACCCTGTCACAAATGATACACAACAATGCAAGTCTCTCCACTAAAATACAAAAAGCTATTACACAGGAGGAAGCCAGGAAATGCAAATGTATGGTTTATACTTTACTTTCTTAAGAGCCACTCAGTAGTCAGATCTATCTAATGTGGATTGGTATTGGCTATTTTTTGATGTAGGCATACTTCATGGGTAGTGTGCACTAAGCAGCTCGAATATGTAGGGAAACTTAAAAAAATATTGGAGTAGGATTTTGTAGATATCAGATTAATAAATGTCTCACGTTGGGACGTTCCTAGTTGGCAGTTTCTAATTACACCGTTAATGTTGAGGATTTTTGGCAGATCTGAAGAAGCACCCACCCGAGTTTATCAGTTTATCTCCCGTCACTCTGCTCCTCTGCAGAGTCTTGATAAGTTCTGAGGTAACGGTCTCTGATTCAAACTGCACTTACACAATAAACACAATAAAAAGATGACGAATCTACATTCAGCGTGTTGGTTTGATGTATGATATTATTTGATTTGACAGTTTTTATGGTAATGTTGCTCAATTAGGCCATCTTCTGTCTAACTGACTTAACATGTCACTGTTTGGTTGTAAGGAACTATGTTTATTCATTGACTGCATCAGTTATAAAAGTCTTATCTCAGATTTCTGTTCTTTTATTTTGTAGCAAAGGTTCTGTTCTTTGGTTCATCTCTACCTAATGGATAAAACTGCTGAAGGCTACTTTGTCGTCTGTGTGTAACATCACATTAGTTTTATCCATAAAATACTTCTACATGCACATGGTTTTGATGAGATTTTTTAAAAACGTACTTGAAGTACATTACATCAAGTTAGAATAAGCTAGAGTCTTGTAAGGCTGTTGCCTTATGTGAACTTGGAACATTAAATGCATTTTGGATCAATTATTAATTAGAATGTTTTTATTCCTACAGGATCAACACACCAAGGAAGCAGGGAGGTCTAGGTGCCATGAACATCCCCCTTGTGGCAGACCTCACCAAGACGATCTCCAGAGACTACGGTGTGCTGAAGGAGGATGACGGCATTGCATACAGGTTGGGCAGACTGCTTGTCATCTTAATTGAAGGCTTTGCTGCAAAAGCCCAGTAGTCTCTGTCTAATGGGAGCTTGGTAGCATGTATTACCTCTGCTCTATAATTACTATGATGACTAAGTAAGCACTGAAATGTGGAGAGACTAAAGGATGTACATGTAGATGTAACAGTTTGTGCCTCTCAGGGGTCTATTTGTGATTGACGACAAGGGCGTCTTGAGGCAGATCACCATCAATGACTTGCCCGTGGGTCGCTCTGTGGACGAGACTCTGCGCTTGGTGCAGGCCTTCCAGCACACTGACAAACACGGAGAGGGTGAGTAAAATCTCTGTATGCTGTTTACTCCCAGTTTAAGGCTCTGGCATCAGTTAATGTACAACATTACACTCTAATATTACATGTAAAAACACAATACATAGTTTTTTGTCCTCCTTTTCTTTTACAGGAACTGAAAAATCACAAATTTGTTAAATATTTAAAGTAATGCTGCCTGTAGTTGTAAACTGACTCAGAGGGTTCAGTTTATAGACATGGCCTTGCATTGTTAGTTTACCCTCCTGGGTATTTACACATGCACTTTGTCCTCAGGGTTTTCAAACTTCATCGCTTGCCACTGAGACCTAATGGTACACTTTGTCCTCTCTCCCTCTCCACACAGTGTGCCCCGCTGGCTGGAAACCTGGGAGCGACACCATCGTCCCTGACGTCGAGAAGAGCAAAGAGTTCTTCTCCAAGCAATAAATGTGAAGTTCTTCTTGCTGACTTCCTAACCGTAGCACTTGCCTTCAGATGAGAGGTGTCCCCCATGAAGCAGTATCTCATGGCGTCCAGTCTAATCTATTAAACCTAACAGCATTTCAGAACTTGTTAGAAAAAGATCCTTTTATCTTTGTTTGTCCCGTTTACAGTTGGTAGGGCGACCTCGTAGTCTCAAGCACTGAACGTCTAGTTGTTTTGTTCCTTTTTCAGAAAAAAAGTATTGATTTTTTTTTTCCTTGCTGTCATGAGTAAGTCATGTAACCATCTTTATTAAAGCAGTGGGGAAAATTGTGACTGTTTCGTCTGATAATTGTAGCAGGACTCTACAATCAATGTAATTCCAGGTGTTTCCTCTAGGTGGTGCCATAATTCTTCCAAAAACTTTCTCTTTCAAGTTTAGTGACTGTAAAGGTTGTACACATTATTGTTATTATTATTATTATTATTATTATTATACCAGCAGACATTTGTGAACAATGAACTTGGTGTGTCAGGAAGTGTCCTGTGCCTGCGTCATGAGGCTGTGAAGTCTTGGTTAATATTGGAATTATTGTGGTGATTGACTCAGCATAACAACCTGGTGTTGCCAAATGGCACCAAAGCTGCTTGGGAAATATTGGATTGTTGGAAATGATTCAACACAGACCTGCATGACTGTCCCAACTACACACACCTAGTTAGCTATGTTTTTCCCACTATGTTTAATATAATTTCCAGTGTAATTATAATGCCTTTTTCCACTATCATTGAAGTAAAATAGGATGACACCCAAGTAACCACTCTTACTTTTATTTATTTATATTAACTATTATTATTACTAATGAGCTACTGGACACCTGCATTTCCCCTTGGGGATAAATAAAGTATCTATCTACAGAAATATAGTGGGATATATCATCACTGTTCAGACACAGTAATCCTTAATGTCTAAGTTTATACAACTTAGTGGGCACTTTCTGTTACACCTGGATCCTACATACTATTTGTGACCCCTACTCTTCCACAATAGTTACGTCTGCCAGTGTTGTCACTAATTCTTGTAATTTCAAACTAGCTCTTAACCATCAGACAGAAAGTTTTCTCTGCATGTTTGTCTGGAACCTTTTGCAACCATTTTTCCTGAGCTAGTGTTCTCACGGCTTGTTTTGGGAAATTGAAAGCAGAATGGGGAAACTCCCTTAACTCGAATAAGCCACTCATCGACAAAACCTCTTCATTCACACACACACACACACACACATACACACACACACACACATTGTGGTGTGAATGGGGCGTGAAGGGGGGAGCGCAGCATTTCTGACTGGCAATGTAGGAGGGAGTTCCCGGAAACCTTTTCGTGATGTGACGCTAGTCAGCTAAATTGACCATATATGGAATGACGTATGTACGTCAATAGGGAAACAATCCTACGCTGGGACGTCTACAACGTCAGGCTGCTACTGTAAACTTCTGTGCTGACCAGAAAGATCACTAACAACAGTGCGGTTGCGCTAACGAGAATCACTGTGATAAATAAGGATTCCTAAGAAGTGGCGGTTTTAAATACACATAACCTCAAAAAGAAACAACACCAGATATTTCTTAGTTTCATAATTTCGTTTACTTAAATATACTGTACAAGTAAAAAAAGACAGGCTCATCAGGCTCAACCTGACAAACACAAATAACTTACATAAGAAGCATCACAATCAAAAAAACAAAATGTAAACAGGCAAACCCGAGACGACACTTTTAAAAACTTATTCAAAAATGCCCTAAGTGTTTTAGTCTTGTATGATTTCTGTGTGGAGGCTACTTTTCTTTCAGCCAAAGAAACCATGATGATCCAGTTCTCGCATACTATGTATAAAGACATTGTTCATTGTGTTGTCAGTGCAGTCATTGTCCAGTGTTTCTAAAAGTGCAATGTTACTTCAATAAGACTTCACTTTGGGCGCTAACATGAGCTGGCAGCCACTGCTCACATGTGTCATGACTTTCTGTTTGAGTTGGGCCACCTGCTCCCGCAGTAGAGAAGCCGTGTTTGACAGTCCGGCGTTGTCTGTTTTCAACACCTTCACTTTGTCCTCAAGACGAGCGATGCGCTCCAGCTTGCGCCTCCGACACTTTGAGGCTGCGAGCCGGTTCCTCAGCCGCTTGCGCTCCGCTTTGATCCGCTCCTGGTTCTCCAAGTCGATGGGGGACATTGGCGGAGAGCCGTTGTCGCTGCTTTGCATGTCGGGAACTGTCTGAGGCTCCTCTTTCAACCCGCCGAAGCGCTGCGAGTGGATGCCAGCACTGGCCAGGGAGTGCTGGAAATGGTGAGATCCGTGCGCAACGGCCTGAGGATGCTGGTGGTACTGGTGGTGGGGCAGGTAGCTGATAGTGGTGGATGGGTAGCTGGCTGCAGAGGACAGGCTGGGGTTATTGGTGCAGCTGCCCAGTGTGGTGTACTCGAGCGGTTCTGGCTGCATGGAGGAGCCGAACACAGAGGCTGGAGCCGAACAGCCAACGCCACCGGTGCCGATGGACACGTTTGGAGGAGCCATCTGGTTCATCTTGTGTAGATCGTCCAGTGCTTTTACAAAACCTTCAGCAAAGCCCTCCTGCTCCTCTGTGATCCCGCGGTTGTACAGGTACTGGGCAGGTGTCGGCGTTGTAGTGATGACTCCGTTGCTGTTCTGGATGATCAGTCGCTCCAGTTCAGGAGAGGCGAGCTTCAGGGAGCCCACGTCCGCCGTCCCCGTTGAATAGAAATCACTGTCGGCGCGCAGGTGCTGTGACTTGAAGTTTGAGTTCCGATATGATTCGGAGAAGTTCAAGTTCATATTCTGCTTTAGCAGCTTGTAGTCTGGCAGAGCTGCGCCTGGATGGCCATAAGCAGAGAGAAACGAGTCGTCATAAAAAGGCTGTTCCATTATTGTGGACATATTTCAAATCAGACAGTCAAATACAAGAGTGCGCTGCAAAGATGCTGCTCGGACACCGAGGCTTCAGTGTCCCAACTGATTCAATCTCCAGCACAAAGTCCCGCTGTATTATTTTACTGAAGATCAAAGTTATCAAAAACAGAGCAAAACTTCCAAAATAGTGGAACTGTACTGTACCAAGTCGTCGATTTGTACCTTTAGTTGGATTCAAAGCGGAGTCCAGTGACTAATTCAGATGTTTTCAATCCACTCGTGTGTAGGAGAGTCTTTTCTGCTCTCAATCAGACTTCCACTTCTGTTTCCTCTTTACTGACAGCCGGCCGGCGCGTTCCGCTCTATTTATATAATCCGGCGCGAAGCGCTCCAACCAACCTGCTGATTGGTTGTTTGTGTCCCCGCCTCCGGGATGTCAGATGGAGTAGATGACGTTGTTGCCAGGAACAGGGACTGTAAACAAGACGAAGCCTATTCGGCGTGGGGGAAACTCAACCCAGGTAAACACGCAAAAGACCTCGTGCGCATCCACACTCCTTATTATTTATTAACAAGTCAGTTTAAATGTTTCCCACAGCGCACAGTCATTCAAGGCTCTATTGGGCTATTCCAGTCAAAATGGGACACCTACAACACTCCTGCGACCACTCTGTCTGTTTCCCTCAGCAACAATCCCAGCGGCCAGGATATATAGTCTACTCCGGTGCTGAGTCATGCGATCCAAACTGATATCGACCAGTCCATATTTGGGTATCCTGGCGCACCAGTTCCTCCCTGACAGGAGCGGGAAGCCAATCCCATCCTGGCGCGCTTCCAGTTCTCCGGGATGTGGGAGGCGGAGGAGGAGCACTGCTGCGCTCCTTCACCCTGCAGGCAGGGAGAGGATGGGTAGGTGGTGTTAACTGTTGGGCGTGATGTCCTCAAAAATGCAGGGAGCATAATGGCTGTCTGGCAAGAAAGGACATATGCTCAGTCTATCAGACAGAGGAATGTATCCATGTGATAAAGAAAAGTAAAGATAACACACAGACAAGCCTAATACTCAATGGTGGAAGGTGGTAACACTCAGCAAACTTACTCACCAACTTCTGCTTTAGTACTTTTAATTTGTCACGTAGGAGTTACATGGTTGTATCATTAGAGTAATAATAAAAAAGTTGTACTAGCTCATTTCTAACTGGGTCTTACTCTTAGCCAGTGGTTTGGGTTTATTATGTGTACTGAACTGAACACGTTACTATAGAAATTACAGGAGCGTAAACAAATGACAGAGCCTCAAAGGTATTTGAGGGTGAAGACATGACCCCTGAGCTGAACACCTGTTTGATAGAAAGACGTCTTTGTCTTCTGTGTTTGGTAATGACCTCTGAATCACTTCCCAGAGGGCAGTGCACCCATACACATTAGGATCTTCCAATTTGACTTTCCGACGTCCTCCTTACCTATCCTCAGAACAAACAAGTTCTCACACATATCAGCTGTAATATTAAGCACATAGTAACAATTTAAGCTATCCCAGACTATTAAAGTTAATGGTAATATCACAAAGTTGCACTGTGAGTAAAACAATCTAAATGTAACTTCAGTATCTCTGGTGTTTTTCAATGTTAGGCTCCTGTCAGACTGTGCATTTTCATTTCATACTGGATTTGAATTACAGGTTAAAATCCTCTTTTGAAATTGTGCATGGGGGTTTCCCTCATAGAATAAGACCACGTTGACCTTTGAATCTTTGCCATTATCTTCACACCAACCACACATCTTGATGAAATGATATTGAAATGATATCTACTGGGCCTCACCAGAGCTGCTGCATTTTAGGAAATTTATTTAGAATATCTGTTGCAACATCAAGTTGTATCCTGAGTGCTTCCTCATTTTGTGGGAGTCAAAAGTTGCAGAGTTTTGGCCAGCTGTCACGCAGCGGTCAGTGGTCAGCTTGGGCCAAGCTCCTCCCACTAAAACAGTGGTCCGATGCGCCAGTTACATCTCCTGTCAGTGAGAAAAAATCTAAGGGGGAAACAGAGAAACAGAAGTAGTTTCAGGGAAACAGAGTGAAGTATCACTCAGTGGTCAGTTCCAGTTTCAGAGTGACCTAATCCACTTACTAAAGGTCACTAGAGTCACTGCTTTGAGATATCACAAAACTGTGACCTCTTATCGCATCTGGTTCAATACTGATGAACATTCACTTCTAATTAGACTATAAATAAATGGTTCTTAGGATGACAATTCTTAGGACTATTAATTTCATTTACATATTATTGGTTTTTTGAAGTGTTGATCCATAAGAAGATATATTTGTGGTTTTAAGAACCAAAAACCATCTCAATGTAGTTTAACATCTCCTCTCTCAGGCTTTTCTCTGGAGCTCTAGTAACAACGGGTCAGTATTTGGCTGACTGTTTTCTGAGTGATCAAATAAAAATATAGCAGATTTCAGGCCTGGTGTACTCCTGGGAGTGGTAACTGCTTTGTTGTGACATCACAAAGTTACAGAAATCCTGACAGCTCGTTTTGAGGCTCAGTTTCTGAATAAAGGCTGTGTGCATTTCTTTGTGGACTGAGCACTTTGATACTTTCACAGTATTAATATAGAACCTAGACCTGCTTTATAATCAAAGAAGACATGGAAATTTACCTTTATACAATATGGGACCTTTAGATTTGCATGTGCAAGAAATTCTGCTATGGAATATTTACATGTGACTTTTCTGTTTGAGACCCTTAATATGCTCTGAACAATTTCTTGCTCATGTGCACATGATTACATGTGGCAATGCACAGAAATTCTTAGAGGCGCAGCTCAAACACCTCATACATGCAATTTTTTCAGCTTTTTTGAGTGCTGGTGTGATTGAGGTTGACAGAAAGGGTGACAGAGAACAAGCGCAACAGCAGAAATATGAAAAAAACAAAACATGAACGCAACAGTGGTGCATATAGGTGTTCTTCATTGGTTATTAGCACCTCACTGGGTTACGTGATGACTGCTGGCTGTGCCTGGGAGAGATACCGAGGGCATGTGAAGTGAACTGTAGCGGGGTAGAAGCCCGCAATAGCATAGATGAGAGGAATTAATTGAATCTGACACATTGTATTGTACAAATGTGTCATTTAGAGGAAAGTCTATATGTCAAGTACACACCTATACTTGTTCAGTTATGAATCATACTTCCAAAATATGTTTTTTTGTTGTTTTTTTTACTGAGAATTCATTCAACTATCTGGAAGTGGCCAGGACTGCTGACAGAGCTGATTTAACCACATTGTGAAAAAGTCATAAAGTATCTAAGCTGGGATGAGTTTACAGAACATTAGAGCTAGCCAATAAAATTAGTGATTTGGATTCACAAAATGAGGGTTGTCTTTTTATCACTAGAGGACGTGTGATGCTTCAAATTCATTTAGCTTGCATGAATATTTACTTATCAGAAAAAAAATCCTGTTTGGTATCATCCTCTCTGACCATGCTCTGTAATTACTTCTCTGACTTCAAATACAAAACTTTTGTCAGAAAAGGACAAAACGGAAGAATGCCTGAAAGCTGCTGATGTTCATTTGGCCTTCATCATGACTTTAACTCCCTCCTTTCCTTCTCGCCTCCCATCGCAACCTCTGCAGCTTATTCAGGCACTAAAACACTGGCCAGCTTTATCAAATGAACCAGAAGTAACATTTCTCTTGCATCTTTGGCAAGGTCTTCCACGCTGGAAGCTTGGTGACCTGGAAGTGGCCTGTAGGTGTGGTGAGTCAGGTAGGGGTGTTCATCAGGGCAAAAAGCTGGCTGTCCCTGCGAGGAGAGGACAGCTCACCCCCTCACACAGCACATTAAGTCAGAAGACTGTTAGTCCTTAGAGAGTGTGTGAGCCACTTAAATTAATGCTAACAAGCAGCCCTTGTCAATTTCTCTTTCACCCCCTCCTCCTCTCTATGAACTAAACCCTCTCCCTGCACCAAAAGCCTTTTCCTTTTGTCTTCTTCCCCTTCATCGTTATTTGGCTGCCCGTGGGAAATTGAACCATCTTGTGCATGTAATCGCTTTAATGAAGGCATGTTTAATCAGCATATTCTTTCGTCTGTAGCTTCCAGATAGTGCCAAGGAGCCTTGTAGCGATGAGAGACCTTTAGCACAAGACAAGATGATTGCTGAGGCCAAATGAGTGTGGCAGGGAAAGACAGTCAGACCCAGCTGTCCCCTCGGGCAGACGTAACGCATATGGAGCTGTCCTTCCCACTTCCCCTCCATCTACACGGATGCTTAAACTCCCTGTCACTCTGCCAGTCTATAAAAAAAAGGCAAACAGCAGGAAGTGGGGTTGGGGGTGGGGGGTGGGGGGAGGGTTTAATTAGGTCTAATCTGATTTCACATGCCCATTTGGTTTATTAATTGAGCTGGCTCATTGTTGCCTTTTTTGTTGGAAAGAGACAAAAATGTGAACTTCATTATGAGTGGGGGGTGAAACTGAGCGTGATGGTGTTAACTGTGGGGTTAGGAGTTGTGTTGATATATTTTGGTCAACCCTGTTGCAGACAGTGGTGTCCTTTGTCCGATTCTGATCAAATCCCCCCAGTATCAGTTTTATTGTATCTGTGTACATTTATGCAACAAAGGTCTGCAGCTACACTATAGTGGCTCTCTGAGGCTGCAATTAGGCTTTGAGCCAAATGCTTATGCAAGCATGGCAACATCCTCATAATGCTACAATCCTGATGTTAGGCAGGTGTAATGTTTACTATGTTCACTATCTTCATATTTCATGAATTTCTATCTATCTATCTATCTATCTATCTATCTATCTATCTATCTATCTATCTATCTATCTATCTTAGTTTAGTGTTAGCATGCTAACATTTACTAATTAGCACTAATGCAGCTGAGGCCAATGGGAAATCTTCCGACTTTCAAGTGTTTGAAAAACTGAAACTTTGGCCTGATGGTTGTGTTAGATGAAAAGTCAAGGGATCACCAGTCATTGCAGTTTATCCTGAGGGGAACATGAATGTGTGTGCCAAATTTCATGACCATCCACCCAGTAGATATTTGAGTCAGAACCAAAGTTCTGTACTGACTGAAAGACCAACATGGTCATCACTGAATTCCCCCAATATCAGTTTTATTGTATCTGTGTACATTTATGTGTACTTATACAGAAGTCAATATAGAAAAGAGCTGATAAAAAGGGAAGAATCTTACTTTTTATGACTCTTGTAGGAGAAGTGCCTGAAGTGGATATGAACTACAATAAAAAAAACCATAAATGCACCCAGACAGGTCAGAGACAGGTGTCAAATAAGCATAATAGTAAAATGACAGAGGTGAGTAATAAGCAAAACACGCCCTTTTCTGCAAACGCACCCAAACAAGACACATCATACATTTGCTGTGAAACTATGAGGGCTGATATACTGTAAGTGACTAAAAGGTTGCTCACAGTGTTGTGACATCATTCAACCTTATAGAGCAGAAGTCCATATCATTATGATTACAATAAAATACATGGAGCATGGTACATTCTGTATTTGTTTTAACCCTAAATAAGCCACATGCAGACACACAGATGACAACTGGATTCAGATTTGTTCTAAACTGGGGGGTCAGGGAGGAGAGGTGGGATGTGTTTCAGAAGTTTGATTCCTCTGTCTGA